CCTGCTTCAGCCTCCCAAGTAGCTGGGACTACAGGCATGCACCAGCATGCCTGGTTAATTTTACAAAAATTTTTTGTAGAGAAGGGGGTCTTGCTATGTTGCTTAGACTGGTCTCAAACTCTTGGCCTCAAGTGATCCTCCTGCCTCAGCCTCCCAAAGTGCTGGGATTACAGGTGTTAGCCACCATACTGGGCCAACCACGGGTACATTTGAAACCATCTCAGACAGCTTTGCATACAACCAAGCTCATTTTCTTTACCTTGCCAAGACCCACCTGATTGCACTGTCTGTCCATCCATGCAGTGGCCAGAGGAGAGGCAGAGAGTGGGGTGGGGATGCAGTGACAACATACACCCTGCCCTAGGGGATGTGAAAGCAGGCAAGTGGATGCGGTGGGGCCAATATTTGGGGGGTTTCACAGGTCCTACTGCAGAAGCCTCACCAGGCAGATGGTGGGATGGCCTCCAGATCTGAGGGGCAGCATACGCAGCATGGCAGGCTGGGGGAGCTGGAGGTGTGTGTGACAGGATGCTGGAGGCCTGCGGGTGGCCAAGGGCAGACTTGACCACAGGCATCGGAAACTGTTCAAGGACTCTGAGTAAGGGGCCAACAGGGAGGGTCTGCTTTTTAGAGAGACCACCTGACCTTTGAACACTTTGATAAAGAGCTCTGTGTACGGAGACATCGGTGCATGCTTAACTCCACCACAGAGAGTGGGGGCTGCCCAAAGGCCTAAGGAGAAGCAGGTGAGGTGAACTAGGGTCTGTCCAGGGGCTGGCAAACCACAGCCATGGCCACCTCCAGCCCCTGCCGTGGTAGATGCAGTTTCACTGGGCATAAGCCACGCCCCTCTGTTGACACACTGCCCACCACCACCTTCTCAATACAAAGACAGCGCTGAGTAGTTGTTCAAAAAGCCAAAAATATTTACTACCTGCCCTTTACAGAAAACACTAGCCGACCTCTGGTCTATTCCTGTGATAAAATATCATGAAGCCATTCAATGGTTCTTTTAGAGTTTTAGCAACAGGACAAATGCCTAAGTTATGTTTTAGCTTCAAAAAACCAAAATATATAAAATGATATATACAATATAACCTCACTCAAACATGTAAAAATAGGATTAGAAAGCAATAAACTAGCATTTTAACAATAGTCATTTCTAGTGAGTTAGATTATGAGTAAGTTTTACATTGTTTATATTTTCCCTTTTAAATATTGCTAAGAAGTCACACACAGGACACTACCTGAGAGCCTTTGTCGAGCTTTGACTTGGCATCAGGCCGAGGTTCTGAGGACCTCGGTAGGAGACGCTGCCTGTGGTGGGAGGGAACAGAACATACGTTGTTTATGTTAACACATCACGGCACTTGGAAGAAGAAGACCAAAGAAACCTGCTATGTTTCCCTGTAGCCGTCACTCTCTCCCCATCAGTAACGGGTTGAACTGCACAAACGCACAGATAGAGTTCTCTGGTTGCTACACAACCCTAGGCAACCATAACGATCCCCCTGAGAACTCCCGATTCCACAGAAGCATCCACATGAGGGGAGTGCAAATGTTTTACATTTTAATCTTTTTACCTTTTTGCACCTTTGCAACATAGAGAATATTTAAACCATCTGAATAAATTGGCAGTTTAATATCAAGACCTGGAAACCAGGGCTGGTCAGTCCGTCTGACTTTGAGCCTCACACAAGAGCTCTTAGGCCGAGGCTTCCACCTCTGCTGGTCCGGGGGCCCAGCCAGGGAGGGCCTGCCATGCACCAGGCAGCTGTGGGCACGCAGTGCGTGCCCGTGTACAGCAGCGCTCGATGAATGTCTGGAGACTTGACTTCCCTCCACATGCTGAAGTCTTAGCTGCTGTTACTCTGGGAACTGTCGGAAGAGCAAAAGCACTTCCAGAAGTTCTTCAGCTCCTTCTACACGGGAGTGTGACCTGCGTTTCACTCCCTCCATTTCCCTGGTAACATGAAAAGGGGATGTGACAACTCTGTTCTGGGGCAACACCATGCATGGTCAAATTGACCCAGGGCTGGAAAACTCACCTGGTGGGGGAGCCTGAGCTGTGCACTCCCCTGAACTCTTGGACTGGCCAGTGCCCTGTATGTCATGGAATGTAGGCGGGGGCTGGTCTGTGGGGCCAGAGGCCCTGAGCGAAGGGCAGCCTCTGCATCCCTGATGGGATTTTTTTCTCTGCCCCTGGGTGGTGTGGACTGGGGGAAGACACTGCCTGCTGGCAGCACCATAATGCTCCTCAGTCTGCAGGTGACCCTCAGAAGGAATTGAAAAATGGCTGAGAACCAGGGAGGCTGTGTGGATCTTTAAATTTTCTGTGTTTTATGGCCGGGCGCAGTGGCTCAGACCTGTAATCCTAGCACTCTGGGAGGCCGAGGTAGGAGGATCGCTTGAGCTCAGGAGTTTGAGACCAGCCTGAGCAAGAGAAAGACCCCGTCTCTACAAAACATTTAAAAATTAGCCAGCTGCGGTGATGGTGCCTGTGGTCCCAGCTACTTGGGAGGCTGAGGCAGGAGAATCGCTTGAGCCCAGGAGTTTGAGGTGGTTGATATTGCTGGGGTAAAGCCTGAAGAGGAAAGAAGTACCCATGTCATCTCGGACCGTCTCTCCGTAAGATATGCATCCGTTATGGGGGACGCGATGACTGCAGTGGAGAAACATGGTAGATGCCAGTGTGGTCAGGTAACTGAGGTTAATGTCCTCATGGAGGGACCAGGTGACCACAGTTAATATCTCTGAGGTAGATCAGGCCAACTTCGTGTGCCCTAATGTGATGTGCTGAGAAGAGCAGTAGCATTTCTGGGGCCTTCCTGCCAAGAAAGGGCACTCTGTTATCACAAGGACACACCAGATGACCCAGGTATGGGTCACCCTTCAGAATTTAATGTCTATATTCTTTAAAACTATTAAGGACAAGAAACGGGAAGTATGAGGGAATGCCCAGTCCGAAGGAGATGAAGAGACGTTACAAATAGACACTGCTTGTCCTACACGGACATCTGGACTGCAGAAGAAAAGAGACTGTGGTGACGGCTGCTGGGACAGAAGAGCTGCCATCGTGGATGCCAGGCATGAGCTGGGAGTGGTCTGCAGAAGAGTGCTCTTGTTTTCTCAGGGGCACGGGGGCACCATGCCTGTAACATGCTCTTGGTGGTTCAGGGAATCACCAATGGCAATGGGCAGGGAGCAAATCCGGCAAAATGTTAATAGCTGGGGAATATGGGTGAGGGAGACAGAGGAGTTTTCTACACTGTTCATACAATTTTTCTGTGTGTTCTTACTATTTTTGAAATAAATTATTTAAAAAAATAAGTTGGATAGTCATCATACCATATACCTGAAGATAAACTCCAAAGAATTTGGAGAAAGGTAAACATTAAAAACTAGAAAAATTCTGCTCTGTGAAAGACAATGTCGAGAGAATGAGAAGACAAGCCACAGACTGGAGAAAATGTTTGCCAAAGACACTTGATAAAATACACACAGAACTCTTACAACTCAACAATAAGAAAACAAACAACCTGATTAAAAAAATGGGCCAAATACCTGAGCAGACAATTTGGCAAAGAAGATACACGATGGCAAATAAGTGCATGGAAAGATGCTCACAATCATGTGTTATCAGCAAGATGCAAATTCAAACAGTGAGATACCACTACACACCTATTAGAATGGCCCAGATCTGCAGCACAGACAAAGCCACACGCTGGTGAGGGTGCGGAGCAACCGGAGCTCTCACTTCCTGTGGGTGGGAATGCAAAATGCCATAGCCTCTTTGGAAGACAGTTTGGCAATTTCTTTCAACACTAAACACACTCTCACCATATGATCCAGCAATCACACTCCTTAATATTTACCCAAAGGAGTTGAAAACATGTGCACACAAAAACCTGCCCATGGACATCTACAGCAGCTTCACTCATAATTGCCAAAACTCGGAAGCAACCACAATGCCCTTCAGTAGGTGACTAGATAAATAAACTAGGATCTATCCAGAAAATGGAATATTATTATTCAGCAACTAAAACATGAGCTAGGCAAGCCATGAAGGGACATGGAGGAAGCTTAAGTGAAAGATGCCAATCTGAAAAAGCTACAGACTGTATGACTTCAACTATATGACATTCTGGAAAAGGCAAAAATATGGAGACAGTAAAAGATCAGTGGTTGCCAAGGGCTGGGAGAGAGTGGTAGAAGGGATGAACAGGGGATTTTTAGGGCAGTGACACTGTTCTGTGTGATACTGCAATAGTAGACACATGTCATCATGTATTTGTTCAAGCCTCTAGAACGTACCACACCAAGAGAGAGCCCTAATGTAAACTGCAGGCTCTGAGTGATAATGATGTGTCAATGTGGGTTCACCAGTTTTAACAAATGGACCGCTTTGGTGGGGGGTGTTGGTAGTGGGGGAGGCTGTGCATGTGTGGGGACAGGGGGTATATGGGAAATCTCTGTACTTTCTTCTCAATTTTAATGTGAACCTAAAACTGTTCTGAAAAAATAAAATCTATAAGAAAAAAAACCAACAACTAAACCAAGTGATTTAGCTATGTGGAAAAACCTACCTAACCATGAAAACCTATGAAATAAAAAACATAATAGATTCGAGCACATAAAAATATTAAGTTTCTAAAACTCCAAAGTTAAATACAAAATTACAAAGCAAATTCGGTAAAATGTCAAATCCTTCATATTGAAGACTCCATAAACATAAAGGACAAAGGGCAAAACAGATAATTCCTAGCAAAACATAAGAAAGGAATAAAAACACTTGGAATCATTAACAGTCACAGAAATGAAAATCAAAATGATGACCTTTCCTTTCAGACTGGCAGAAAGGTGGCACAACAGACATGGTGTTGCTGACAAGGATATCTGGGGCACTCTCAGCCTGCTAGCAGAAGGGAAATAGGTGGTCCTTTTTTAACGTATCCACATACATCGAAAGCTAAGAGAGTTCATGTATTTCCTGTGGCCTTCTAGAAATGTATGCTAATAGGAGAATCCAGTGAAGACAAAAGTCTATGCACAAAAACGGTGAACCTTTGAACCGTAACACACATGGGGACAGTGAGGTTAGGCACAACCAGTCCATGGGATGGAACAGAAAGCAGCTGTGGGAAAGTGTGGCTGGCACAGTGCTGGGAAGACAGTCTGCACGGTCTGAGGTCAGTGTGTTCAATGTATATGCCCCCCACGCAGGACAGAGCAAGGGGTTCTGCTCAGGGCTCCCCACTCCCACAGCCAGCATGTGAGACAAGGCCAGAGGCTCCGGAGCTGCTACCCCTGGTGATGAGGGATGAGCCAGAGGCCTTGTGATTCAGGGGAGCGCTTGGCATAGGGGCGAGAGCCAATGCCAGGGGACCTCCCAGGCCAGGGTGGAGAAGGGGAGAACCAGAGCGGGGTTGGGGGACTCGCTTTGGAAACAGACCAGCAATCCAAAGCCAAGTACCAGTAAGCAAACCCAGTAACACTGTTTTTGTTTAAAACCAAGGGGAGACAGAATGCAAAGGAACCAGTTTTCTTCTGAGACTCGTTCAGCAGTAAGCACAAGAGCTTCTCCCTGAAAGATTCAACAGCTGCGCCATTTTGGTAACTGTATAGCCCCTGTGCTGACTTGGCTGAAGGACAACACTCATCTGGGTAAATTCTGATGGCTTTGATTCAATGTGACTTTTCAGAGAACATATTCTAACCCGTGCGTGGATCTATCTGGGGTGAGGTTACAGGAACTTTTACTTACCCATGCGTCCATCTTGGGGTGGACTAATCAAGGAGATTCTTGCAGGGCCAGCTGCTACCTCAGGCTAAGTATGCAAAAGGAAAACAACTGATAAAATTCCAAAACTGCCATTTATGAGATTCAGAAACTCATTATTTCTTTTTTACCTTTTATTTTTTAATTTTTTTTTTTTTTAAGACAGGATCTTGCTCTGTCGCCCAGGCTGGAGTGCAGTGGTGTCATCATAGCTCACTGTAACCTCAAATTCCTGGGCGAAAGCGATCCTCCTACCTCAGCCTCCTGAGTAGCTCAGACTACAGGTGTGCGCCACCACGCCTGCCTACTTTAAAAAAAATTTTTTTGTGGGGATGGGGTCTTACTACATTGCCCAGGCTGGTCTCAAACTCCTGGGCTCAAGCAATGCTCCTGCTTTGGTGTCCCAAAGTGCTGGGATTACAGGTGTGAGCCATGCACCTTGCCTCATTGTTCGTTAAGAACATATTTCTGGGAGCTCTGTCTCCTTAGTCTCTATCACCCTCTGACAAATTCCTGGCTGGCATGGTTCTGTGTTCACCTCCAGCTCCTGCCTGCTGGAATGCTGGCCCCATGAGGCTGGCAGAGGTGGGTGGGATCTCTGATTCACCAGGACCTAAAACAGTGAATAGATCAAGGACACCACTAAGTGTTTTTAAGAATTTTAGGAGAGAGAAAAGTAAACAAAGGTCTCGGCTGATATTGGAAAATGTAAAATCCTCATCTTGGGTGCATAATTTTGTCACCTTGAAATCCAGGTGCTGACAGACAGGGTGGAGGCAACACTCCTGGAGCTGCGTGTGCCAGGCCCCGCTGTGCCAGCCTCCACCCCACCCAACAACCACGAGGCAGGTGCTGCCACCTCTCTGCCTGACCCATAGGAAGCTGAGAGCCAAGGCTGCTAGCCCAGGAAGGAGGCTGGTAGTGGAGGCCATTCCCGCTGCTTGGTGTTACCTGGGGGTGTTAGCAAGGTGCTATGTGCAGCCTCCTTCCTGGGGTCCCTCCTCCAGCTGCCAGGCCCCTTGCCTCACCTGTGAGTCCCGAGGCTCTGCTGTCACTGGCTGTACCCTACTTAGGCATGGCTACCCATCTTCCTGGCTCCCGCACACTGGCACACCCACCACACAGATCCTTTGATCCGTAGGCACTTCTGACCCATCACAGAAGCCCCTGTGTCCTCTCGGCCTCTCCATTAGTGCAGGGCAGGCCTCACTCCAGGGGTACCCTCTGCCACACCCTCAACCCCGCCTTGCCTGTCCTGTACTCTCACTTGCTGGCAAGACTACAGCCCTGGAGGGACCAGCCCTTTGGCCTCAATGGCCCTCTGTGCTACCTGCAGGCCAGCTCTCCCACAGAGCTGTCCACTCAGTGCACTCCCATTCACCTGAACTGATGGCTGCACTCCCACCCCAGCCAGACAGAACCCTGTGAAATCGCAGCCTCTGCCTCATCAGGGCAGGCTCCAGGTACTTCCTCTCACCTGCCAGGAGTGCTCTGATCCCTTCCTTTCTGGATCCTTCCATCAGGTATGATACCTTCAGTGTGTAGTGCATCTTAAGAATCCTGACATCACCTCCCCTTGGAGCTGTGCTCCATCTGGAGTAATCTGCAGTGTCCTCCCGGGCCACCTGCCCAGGTGCCCATGGTTCACTGTGTACCACAGTGTCTCCAGCAGGCCTGGGCACCGTTAGGACCAGAGCGCCCCCGCTGCCCGCCAAGGCAGACACTATCCCACCTGCTCCTTTGAGCCTCGTCTCACCACCAGGCTCGATGTTCTCATGAATTTTATGATACATTATTTGAAACTTCAACAGAGAAAATTATCACCACACAGTGAGGACAAAATTACTAACGCATAACTGGGATGAAGTAAATCGTCTTTTCTCATCTAGCATCTAATAAGAAAGGATTTTTGTTTGTTGGGTTAGTTATTGAGTCCTCTGTTTAAGGTGAAGTCTAGTAATTGTTGGAGCGAAAAGAATCTTAAAAGGCTGGAGTGCCCAGGCTTCTGGCCCGCGACAGAGGCCCAGGTGGGCGCTTGGGAGGGGCTGGTCAGGCACCGTGGCGAGCACCTGCCATGTTTCACAGCCTCTTGGCTTCCACCAGGTTTCCTGGGATAATACACGCCAAGCCTGGAGCATGCCTGGGAGCTGCCAGCGAGAACTGGGATGTCGGCAGCTGCGCTTGCCGCACTCAGATCCCGACGGTCTAGACTGGGCCAGGTGTGCATTTCTCCTGGGACTGCCTGGCAGAAAGCAGGCCCAGACCCGGCCCGGACAGTTCTGGGAATGACACCAGATAGCCAAGAGGCCTCAGAGAGGTGTCCCAAACACCAGGCTGACATTCTGGGGAGTGTGTCTTCCAGAGTGGAGGCCTCCACACAACAAGCTTGGAATTCACGGGAAAAACAAGACCCCCACACTGCCCCTTTAAGTTAGCACAGAACACCAAGAGGAGCAGCAACAGGCTTTCAAATCCTCTCCCATGATGCCGTCCCAGGCATTTCCGTAAAAATGGCAGAGGGACGCCCTGAGCTTTCCTGCACTGGGACTCCATGTCACCCCAACACCTGCCCAGTTGTGGGTGACGGGCACCACACATGGGCTCAGCCTATGGGATGCAGTCGAAACATGCTACCTTGTCCCCCTTGGTCTGTTTATACCTTACCTAGCGGAGGGTCTTCCTGCCAGAGAATAAACACCTGGTAAGGCTCAGGACATTCCTGATGTCAGAAAAAAGCGTGAAAGATCCTATGGGGCCTGTGTCTTTCCTTGTCCTGGCACTGTCTTCCAGCTGTGAGCTGCAGAAGACGTCGGCACCAATGTTTTTGTCCATGGGCTGTAGTGGACTCGGTACCGCCACATGGGAAGGCTGTGCCTCCATCAGCCGCAGGGCCACAGTCCTGGCCGCCTACACGTCTGTTTGCTCTTGGATTCTCCTTCAAATTAGTTTTCACATTTTACTGGTGTCCCTCATTAACTCAAGAGTTAAAGTTGGTGAACTTGAAATAATACCAACACATAGAAATGATAAACACGCAAGGTGATGGACACCCCGATACCCTGACGTTACTGTTACTTAGTCTACACAAGTAGTAAACATTTACATGGATGCCAGAAATATGTAAAATAAATATCAATTAAAAAATTTAAAAAATAGCAAGGGCATATTATTAATAAAAAATATGTGAGAGGTGTTTATGTTTGTGAGTCATGATTTTACCTTTTAAAAAAATCTCCATGAGTGGGGAGCCAAGGGCAACGTACATAACCTAAACATCTGTACCCCCATAATATGCTGAAATAAAAAAAAAAAATCTCCATTAACATTGGTCAACTGTATGCAGTAGAAAGTCCTGTGCTCATTCGAAGTTAACAGCCTGAAATCATCTGTCCCAGTCTGACGCCTTAACTGACATCCTTCTCCATGGGAAGGCAGACTTCCCCTCCCCTCCTCCCATCACCAGCAGCTCCAGGGCCCCAGGCCTGGTGCAGTGAGGGAAGAAGAAGAGGGAAGAGACAGGCCCCGCAAAGCTGGCCTAGGCTGTGCCCAGGCATCCTCATGGGAGGCATGGCCCCTTCTTGCCTGGCTGCAAGCTGCGCTGGCCTCTGCTTCTCGAGTCCACCCTGAGAGACTCCTGTGCTGTGGCCCTCTCCTTCGATGACGAGCCTTTGGGGCAGGAATACCACCAAGACTACCCTAGATGACACTCCTTCCCGGGGGGCCCCAAGTAGGTGTGGGGTATTCACCAGAGAGTAGGAACCCAGTCCACACAAGCATCTGAGTGGTCTCCCAGAACCTCTGCTCAGCCTGGGTTTACTAGGAACCCCCCTCACTTTACCCCACTTGGGGTGCAAAGCTGCTTTCTCTAAAGAAGCCTCTACATACATCCACTCCAGTGTGACAAGGAGTTTTAGGAGGTACACTAGTTTTCGATATTTTTCTTGAAAATTTGCATTAGCACAGGGGTTGGCAAACTGTGGCCCACATCCTGCTTCTGTTAATAAAGTTTTATTGGAACACAGCCATGCCCATTTACTTCCATACTGGCTGCTACTTCTTCCATTTACTTCTATGGCTGCTTCTGTGATTCAGTGACAGTTGAGTAGCTGCGACAGAGACTTTCTGGTCTGCAAAGTCCAAATTATTTACTATCTAGCCCTTTACAGAAAATGTTTGCCCATGCCTGGTCTAGCACCTCACTTTGGAATTTCAATTGCATTCTGGTCTTTCAGCTGCCATCTGCAATGTAACACCCAGTGAGGTGAAAATCAACTTTGCCTGTCAGTCTATTTTTTTTTTTTGAGACAGAGTCTTGCTCTGTTGCCCGGGCTAGAGTGCCGTGGTGTCAGCCTAGCTCACAGCTATCTCAAACTCCTGGGCTCAAGCAGTCCTTCTGCCTCAGCCTCCCAAGTAGCTGGGACTACAGGCATGCACCACCATGCCTGGCTAACTTTTTCTATATATATTTTTAGTTGTCCAGCTAATTTCTTTCTATTTTTAGTAGAGACGGGATCTTGCTCTTGCTCAGGCTGGTCTTGAACTCCTGACCTCGAGTGATCCTCCCGCCTTGGCCTCCCAGAGTGCTGGGATTACAGGGGTGAGCCACCGCGCCCTGCCTGCCTGTCAGTCTTGAGTATTCCTTATCCTCATCCGACTACCTGAATGCTATGGAAAACCAGGACACTGACCTGACAGGAGAGAATTCTCCCCTTTTAAGCTGTGGGGACTTGGAGGCCATGAGTTCATCCCTGAAACAAGGCCACGAGGGGACCAAAGGACAGACAGAAGTGGGCATCCAGCCTTGGAGGCATGTTGTAGGTATCTGTGGGGGAGGCCCCAGGAGAGGTGCGGTCACACGGGAGTGTCTCCTGTCTGGAAGTCCAGAAGCGCAGCATCAGCAGGTTGAGTGTGGGTGTGGATGGCAAGTATTGGGGAGGTGAGCTGGGTAGGGAAAGGAGGCTCATGCTCCAACCAGCTGCCAAGGAACTAGGGTTTCTCCTCCACCAAAGCTGCCAATGGCCCTTCATTCCCTATTAAATAAAGTCCACCTTCTTATCCTGGAATCCAGGTCCCTCCAGAATTTGGTTCCGGGTGGTTCCCTTAGAGACAAATTGTTGCTCAGTAAGAAGTCTACAGGGCAGAGTCCACCTCACAGCCTACTGGGAGACTGAGGTCCTGTTCACAGTGCTCAGAACAGTGTGTGCAAATGAGCAGCATAGGTGACACCACCTCTGGCAACATGTACATCAAGTAAGTAACTAATACGAGTAAATACATGTGCACCAATCAATGCACTTGCTCCACTGTCCTGCCTGTGCTCCCTGACCCCACCTGCTCTCCCACCCTGTGCCTGCCCCAGCTGCAGCCCACCCTCCCGGGTCCTCCTCACACACTCACCTCCCTGCTTGGAGCCACCTGCTGCTTGGCTGAGGGCATGTCTGAGTCCCACACTGCCTGGCTGGGCAGATGACGGGGAGCTGGGCCTGGAGTGTCCCTGAGTTTTGGCCAGGTTCCTCTAGTCTTGTTTCTCTCCAATTTGAAGTTGTTTTCTGTTTCTCAGAGTCCTTCAAATTTCTGACCCACTTCTTTTCCCGGGCTGCCAGGACTTACTGTTTTTTTCTTTAGCATTATCTCTGTCACTTCTTGAGACTACAGGCGAAAGCAGGTAAAGCACAGGGCCACCAGCCCCACCTCCGCCTGTCCTGGACACCAGCACAGGACCAGCAGGGGCCAATAAGGGAGCAACATGGTACCAACACCAGAACAACATGGGACCAACACAAGAACAACATGGGACCAGCAGGGGCCAACATGGGAACAGCACAGGACCAGCATGGGACCGTGCTGCCCTCCCCACCTGCTTTCTTTCCTCCAGATCCAACTGCAGTCTCAGGTGTTCAGGCTGAATGGGAGAGTCTGTAACAGTTTTACCACAACCCAGCGCACACCCCTGGGGCCAGCACACAGTGCAGAGGCACCGTTAGAGGTCAGTCAACTGTTAAATGAAGTTTAAACAGTGCTGAGAGAAGTTGGAAATACTAGATATCTGGTATATGGGAAACCAGCAACACAGTAGGATAGATGTACTTACTTTTCTCATTGGGGAAGGAGTAAGATCAACTTCCATCGATTCCACTCTGTTAAACACATAGTGAAAGGCATTAATTGAGCCCAAGACTAATCTGTAATTACATAACATCAATTTAAACACACATATAACAAGACCACATACATATACATGTCTAAATCTTCCTCTAGTTCCATGGTGCAGTCATAGCTTAGTCAATCACAGATCTGATCACTGTCATTTCCCTTCCTAAAACTCTCCATGTCCACCCACTGTCTGTAAATCAAATGCAGCCTCCTTCCAGAACACTGAAGCCCCCTGCCCAGGCCCTGGCCGAGTTCTTCCTCATGCTGCACTTGCAGCCGTATCTCCCCCGCTCTCCCTGGAGCATCTGCTCCCGCGGCCCTGTACACACCACCTCTGCCTCCAGACTGTCCCTGCTCTGAGCTCTGCTAGCACCTGCCTGGAGCCTGCTGTACTGGAACCTCCTGAGTGGGGAACTCCTGGGGAACTCTCCCTGACTTTGCTAACACTCGCTCCCTGGCCCACACATTACATCATTCATGCTCAATACACGCTAGTTCCTTCATTAGCCCAAAAGCTGATAGGGAAACATCATTTGGATTCATATTCAAGCTGGCCTTCTCCTAGTGCTGCCATCCTTATGGCTAGGGACCTCAGAGGAAAGAGAGTCACTATTCTGACAGCGCTAGCAGGAGTCCCAGCCATGACGTTCATTGGTCAAGCCTGGATGTACTGAATTCTTATACTTTTATGTTGTCTTGGGATTTGTCTTCAATGCAAGTTTAACTGTCCCATACCAGGGGAGGGCTCAGTCACCGCTGACACAGTCTCCAGGTCTATGCCCCCAACCCTAGTTCTCAATGTGGTTGACCTAGCTACTGCCTTATACAACTTCCTCCCGGTGACCACATCCCTGTGGGGCAGCCAGACACAACCTACTGGACTGGACCTGTGGCCCCCACACCCTGCACAGCCTGTGCAGATCTGCCACAATGACCACCTCTCAGTCACAGCAGGACCCGTGGGACTCACGCCTGCTTGCTCTAACCCCCCCAGTTAAAATCCCCGATGGGAACCCTGTCTGGGTAATGCCCTGGACAGAACAAAGGTGCTGGCCCAGGGGCCCCTCTCTGCCAGACCCTTCACTCTGGCCTCCTGTGACCGGGATGGATGGAGGATGCCCTCCCATCTCATGGTGCCCTCCCTGCCAGAATCTATAGGTGATATATCTTTCAACCTGTTTCCTACTGTGCTGCTGTAATGAAATTGCACCTTCCACATGTAGAACCAGGGGTTGCCCCAGGCTGGGTTCCCCCAAGGATGCCGATGGGGATGCAAGGCTGGGCTCTTAGTTTCAGAGCAATTGTCAGGCAGGCACAACTGAACACGGGTCAGCCGAGAGCCACAGAGACACTCTCCAGTGTAAGCAAGCTCCCCAGACAGGGGCCCTGGTTCAGCCCTCTTCGTGTGCCATGAGCGTGGGCTGCCAACCGCTCTGGCAATGGAATCCCAGTTTAGCTCTCAAGACACCACATCACACGATCACCCCAAAACCAATAGCTGTAGCCGCAGAGCTGGAGTGCACTGAAGCACACACTTGCCTTGGGACATAATGTAAGCACCAGAGGGAGCTAGACAGCCAGCACACTGTCCAGCATTGGGATCTGCAGTATTTGCGGCTTGGAGGGGGAAAGGATGGAAGAGAAATGCAGAAGTGTCCACAGGAAGCACCTGTGGGCCCTGACTTTCGCAGGCTCTACCCCATCCCACCAGACCACACACCTGTCTGGGGCTGAAGAGCGAGGTGGCTGCAGCGGATGAACACGCGGCTTTGCTGGAAGAGCGGTGAAGAGAAAACCTCAGCACAAACGCACATTTAGTGTGATTTGGCATCTTTATATTTCCCTTTCTGACATTATTTTACTTACTTGAAACTGAATTTTTTAGTGTGCTGAAAGCTGCCTGTTGTGACGATCTCATACTAAATAAACAGATGGAGAAAAGGTATTGAATTAAACTACGGAAATTTACTTCGCACTAAGTCATTCCAACTGAAAGTATAAGAAGGCTTTGAATCACCTAAATATTTTTATGGGATTGCAAAAGGGCACTTCATGTGAATTTGACAGTTCTCCAAAATGTTCTACTCGTCCAAATGCCCTGCTCCTCCCCAACCTTGGGAGCAAAATGAAATCGACACTCATTACCATTTAAGTAACTGGCTTTTGTAGCTGCAACTGTTACTGGACAATGGCCAGTGACAGGTGTTACAGGTAGGAAATTAAGACATGGCAACAGGAGTTACTACCGCATCAGTTTTTTTTTTTAGAGAAAGTCTCGCTCTGTCACCTGGGCTGGAGTGCAGTGGCGTCATCATAGGTCACTGCAACCTCAAATTTCTGGGCTCCAGTGATCTTCCTGCCTCAGCCTCCCAAGTAGCTGGGACTACAGATTTTCGCCATCATTTCTAGCTAATTTTTATCTGTATATATATACATTTTTTGTAGAAACAGGGGTCTTGCTCTTCCTCATGCTGGTCTTAAATTCCTGGCCTCAAGTGATCCTCCCTCCTCGGCCTCCCAAAGTGTTAGGATTATAGACATGAGCCACTGTGCCCAGCCAATATCAGTTTTTAAAAGCTGGCAAGAGAAATGTGGACAAGTTACTTGGCCATTTTTCTGGTCTAACAAAGCCCTGGATTTATCTCCATGGCAGCAGGTAGCAGAGACGGCAGGCTGCGTCCTGTAACTTCCAATCACAGAAGGCTGCCACTCATAGGTCCTCCCTATCTCACAGGCTGGCAGATGCGCTTCCACCCATGTGTGGAAGTGGGTGGAGCAAGCCTGTTTCCCCAGACACACCAAGGGGTGCAGACGATGCCCTGAGCACCCATCTATGCTGACCGGCTAGGCTGGGAACCGTAACCCTTTGGCCCCCTTGGGACCACCCCCTCCCCTGCCACCCCAGAGTCATTTGTCCCAGTCCATTTTCTACCTCCCCTGCCCTAAACAGACATCGTCTGAGGACAGGCATTTGGCTTGTTTGGCCCACTCTGAATCACCAAAGCCCAGAACAACACGGAGAACACATGAAATGCCCAATAAAGACCTCTGCACAAGTGGCTGGCCACAGTGGGTAAAAGTACCTTGACTTGTGAGTCTGGGAGGGCTGTGGCCTGGGTCCTCTGAAGGGCACACACTCCTGCTTCCAGATGCCTCCAGAACACATTTTGTTATGTCTGGGGCTCGGAGGAAAGTGAGTCTCCAAGCCCCCTGCCAAAAGACAACAGAAAGGAGCACCAAGACCGCCACAACAAGTACTGCACTGATGGCCCATCCTCAGGCAGGGCAAGGCCGGGGGCTGGCAGAGCATCTGAGGTGAGCGGGCCTGGCTGGCAGAACATGCGGGAATTCTCTCTGGAGGACAATGCAGGCGACACCAAGGGTGCGTAGAGTGGGATCAACCCACGCAGCCTCACCCGAGACCACCAACCACACCAGAAAGGACCTCCTCAAGTGAGAGCAGAGGCAAAGGAGGCAGATGTGGATTCCTGAGGTTATCAGGCATGGACAATAAACAGACGGCCTATGAAATGCCTAAAGATGGAGAAACAACAATGAGCAAATCCTATTTTTCAAATAGTACAAATCAGCAGGAATGTTCTAGAAATGTTAAATATTAATAGAATAGAATAATAATTCAGTGGAGAAGTAGCTGTAGCGCTGAACAGATCAGGGATTGGAAGAAGTAACCCAGGATGTGTCCGAGTGACCTAAGAAGATGGATCATAACAGAAGGTGCGGAGGCACAGACGGCAGGGGCAGTGGCTTTGGCAGGGACTGTAAGAGGGCAAGATTTGAAAAGGTAATGGCCAGGAATTTTACAAAATTAACAAAACACTTCAAAAGTACACAGAAAGAAAGCAAATTATACCCCAAGGAGAAAAAAAAGTAATCCCACACTTTGATGCATAGTGAGTATCTGTCTTTCCTCTTGTGATACTGAATTTGAAGCAGGCTTTGCAACAACGTCTCTGCAGAGAGTAGCTAGTAAATGCAGAAGGCTGTGCTGGCCACACGACATAAAAAAATGCGTTTTAGAGGCATCTAGAAGCAGGAGTGTGTGCCCTTCAGAGGACCCAGGCCACACAGCCCTCCCAGACTCAGAAGTCAAGGTGCTTTTACCCACTGTGGCCAGCCACTCGTGCAGAGGTCTTTATTGGGCACCTTGTGTGTTCACCGAATTGTTTCAGGCTTTGGTGATTCAGAGTGAGCTAAACAAGCCAAGTGCCTGTCCTGTGTTGCAATGTGTTTACAATCCTTTAAAAATGCAAAAGCTGTTCTCAGCTTGAGGGTGATACGAAAATATACTTGGGGCTGGACTTGGCCTGGAGTTTGCTGATCCCTGGAATATACCCATCAAAAAACAAGCACATGGAAACTCTTATAATCCAAAATAATGACAGCTAACTGAGGCCCTTTTTACCCCACACAGAGGCAAAGCAGAACCTCATATCAGGAGTGGGGCCACTGATCAGTGTGACAGGGACCACAGCTTCCTCCCTGGCCTGTGGCTCCAGGTCGGCCACGCTCAGCTGCCCAACACAACAGGGAGGCAGGCATCTACATGCACACTGGGTGGCTTGTGCCTGGACACACTGCCCACGGGGGACAGGAGCACCCACAGGGTCATTGGGTCCTCAACCTCCAAATCGGTGTGTGACCACCACATGGGGACTCGCAACTATCCAACATGTCACAACATTCAATAGGAAACTGTACTGTGTTTCACAAAATCTAAGACACCATTGCATATAAGATACACCATATCTAGGTATTGCTGTACTAATTGAACTATGGCATGTCACTGATTCCAAATTCCAGGGACATTAAATGCAAAAAAATGCATTCAGAACAGATCTATGTGTTAAAGGCAATGATTAGTGAAATGGAAAAAAACAAGAATTTTAAATGGCTAGGTTTTCCAGATATTGAAATGTAACACTTTCAGTCACCGTTTTTGGTTAATTCTATTAATAGGAACTCTGGATATGGCCTTCTGAAATGCATCCGCCATTCCCTACAGAGCCTTTATAAACAGAACAGGCCACATGCATTTGCTATGATCCTGGCAGAAAGGAGGCCACCAGGCACTCTTGGAGGCCTGCGTGCACCACCCTCCCAGGGCTCTCCTGCTGCCCCAGGAACCATTGTGGGGTTCGTCCCCAAGGGGAACCAGTCACCTTTTTTCCACTTTTTTGTCTCCCTGATCTTTCCTTTGGTTTTCCACAGCATGTTCTGCTTTGACAGAAGTTTCTAGTACATGAAAGTGCTCCTTCCTCCATTCCCTGGGTTACAACTGAGGTTACACCTGCAGTCATCTCTCTTTCCAGATTTTAGAGGGCAGACGACCAAGTGTACAGTGGCAGTGGGTGGCCCCATTTGTGTACTCACAAGGGACCTTACCTTTGCAGCTGTTCTATTTGCAGCGTTGCCTTCCTGAGGGATTCTTCCAACTTAGAAATCTAAACATAATTAAATGACTTCTTATTATCAGACAAGGTATATCAAGTAACAGTTCAAAGAAGACATTTTGACCCTTTAAATTTCTTAAACCATGAATCAGAATGTGAGTTACTCCACATGGAAGTTGCCTTCACACAATTTTAAGTGAATCTGCACTGGGCCCGATTCATCAGGTACTTGGGAAATTGGCACTGGGACCATCAGTGCAGAGCTAAGTGCAGCCAAGCCCAGGAGGTGCACTGCAGTCCAGCACCCCCACACCTGCACAACGCCGAGACAGGTGGGCAGAGCCCCGAGGAGCATCAGCCGGGCACCTGAGAGCGCTCTGGCCTCAAAGACTAAGACACAGCTCCCCTGCACTCTAGGTTGCTCTATAAGCATGGTCTCTGCTGTTGTGTCAGTGGTGGGACCCTGGCCCTACCACAGGGTGGCTGCTAGACCTCGAGGTATTAATGTTAATTCTCCTGTCCTAGGGTCAGGTCTGCAATGTGATTCATATCACCTACGCTTGAGGTTTGTTGCAGGATTAGAACAGTGTACACTGAACACTTAGCTGGGGCTGGGCGCCTGCCAGAAGCCTCTGGGTAGCAGTGGGGTGTGTTGGGCAAGTGTGTGGGGGTGAGGGTGGGGGTGTCAAGTGGAGGTAGGGGTGTCAGGAGGGGAGGGGAGTGGGGCGGGGTGGGGGTGTCAAGTGGAGGTGGGTGTTGGGAGGGGTGGGGAGTGGTGGGAGCGGGTGGGGGTGTGAGTGGGTGACGGTCTCCTTGGCCAGGCTGTGCGCAGAAGCCTGCTGCCCCTCAAGCAGGGCCCCCGATTAGCTTCTGGACTCTTGGGAGGAGCCCTGTCGTTTGGTGGCTTTAATACTGGGTTATTTATTTTACCTACTGCATAACCTTCAAAGTTGTTTTTAAAAGGACTTTTAGGCCGGGCGCGGTGGTTCACACCTGTAATCCAAGCTCTCTGGGAGGCTGAGGTGGGCGGATTGTTTGAGCTCAGGAGTTCGAAACCAGCCTGAGCAAGAGCGAGATTCCATCTCTACTAAAAATAGAAAGAAATTAATTGGACAACTAAAAATATATAGAAAAAATTGCCGGGAGTGGTGGCACATGCCTGTAGTCCCAGCTACTCGGGAGGCTGAGGCAGTAGGATCGCTTGAGCCCAGGAGTTTGAAGCTGCTGTGAGCTAGGATGACGCCACGGCACTCTAGCCCGGGCAACACAGTGAGACTCTGTCTCAAAAAAAAAAAAAAAAAAAAAAAAAAAGGACTTTTATTAGAAAACAAGGTGGTTGAGCAGAAAAGCCTCTGGTCACCTCCAGGGCCCCAAGGCCCCAACACAGCCTGGCCAGTGAGGTGGCAGTGGGTGCCCAGGGGGGTAGTGGCCTGGAGAACTGCAGGCAGGTGTTGGGCACAGGCCGACTGTCAACAGGGGCCAGTGAATGTGTCCCCACAGCTGGACAAGCAAAGAGAAACAGATCTCACGTCTAGTCGCTCACTCCCTTTAAGAGCAATGTGTTAATTAAGAAGTCTGACATTTAAATCAAAAGGTCAAAAAATTCAAGAGGCAATGATTTGATGTACCTTTTCTCTGTAGAAGGCTAACAATCTCTTCCTGTGTTTTTCTTGAAATTCTGAAATCTGAGAAGATAACACGGTTCAGCTGCTGACAGTGGTACGTGGTCTCTGAGTACGACGCCTTGTCATGGTGAAGCAGGAGGCCCGTGGGGGGGATCCTCAAGTGCAATCTCCTCCCCCAGATGCGGTTCCACAGGGTCAGGGGCTGCTACAGGGTAGACGCTCAATGTGGATGTCTGAGGGAAGAGTGACGCCCGCAGGCACGGTCACATGCAAACACAGGTGGGGTTAATGGGCTCAGGCCTGTCTGTCCAAGGGGCTTAAGTGGTGCTCTTGACCTGGTGATGGGACAGGACATATGACCCACCCTGGGATGTCCCTTGGACAATGGTGACTGGTTATAGGAATGGCCTCCTGACCAAACAGTGCCACCAGAGAACATCCTGAAACTGATATGTAGACCTCTGGCTGGGGAGGGTGCAGAGAACAAAGCCACACAAGACTGGCAGAGCTGGCAGATACCAATGGTCTGGTGGCTTTGTCGGAACTCCCAGAGCCAGCCATGCCTGAAACAGTCCCGTCCCTGGCATTCCCATTTACGTGAGCCCCAGACTGCACGTTTGCTGTACATACAGCTTGAACTGGGTTTCTGAGAGCACCAACATAAATGAGAAAATAGTGGTCTGTGATTTACTCAGAGGAAGATGGAACTATTTTGAGTAAGGTTTTCAGACAATGGTGCCTGCCCTCTTAGAATACTAAGCTGTCATTGCTTCAGGCTAATCCTTGTCACCACTCAGTGCATGGCTGATAGACAACAGGGCCAAACTGTGGGTTAAACTGATATTTAAAGTCAGCATCCTATAAATCTATCACCCACTTCCCTCCATCCCAGCAATCTCAGTCTACTCCTAATACTAGAGACAGTTTGCATCTGCCTCATGGTTCGCTGGTCTAGGGAAACTGTGGGGTAAGATTCCGCTGTGGAAAGGAACGTCGCCCAGTGCACCAGGCCTCACTCCCATCCTCTGTGAGGAGAGGCCATCTCCTGGAGATGGGACTGCACGCGGAACCCTACTCCAGGCCAGGGGAGACAGCATCCTCCTCATTGTCTCCTGTGTTCTTGGAGCGGCTCACTAAGGAGGGGAAGACGGTCCCAGGTGCTTCCACACAAACCATGAGGACGGGTGGACAAAGGGCCTCCTGAGGCCATCCTGGCAGAAATTTTCATGCAAGTCACAGGCTGTGGCCCAGAGCACCTCCCCTGATTGTGCCGAGGGTTCTCGAATCCTCTCACTGGTCAGGTAAATGCTTACACCTACCCCTCAAATCCCAGTCAAGTGCACTTGTATCATGAAGCTTCTCAAAGCACCCTCGGCGGGAACAGCTGTGCCCCTGAGGGTGAGGGGCCTCTGCTCCTCTTGCTTCAGGCGCTCACAGGAGGGACAGTGTCAGACATGCCTGAAAGTGCCCTGGTCTCACTTCCAGACTTGGTGAAGCTCCCCATGTGCTCTGGGACTGCCGGGGCTCTGCGCTTTCTCCCCTCTCCCCCTCAGACACGTGTAAGGCAGGACAGGCAGGGCCGTAGCCATGTTTCCCAACTGCTGCAGCAATGCCACAGCGACAGCTTGCCTGTCTCCTCTGTCTGATTCCTCAACAGGCTCCACGCCCTGGCAGGAAGGAGGAATGCAGACCCCTAACCACCTGTCTTGGTGCAGGGCCTGGAGATCTGAGGAAAGACAGCGCTAGCACTTGGGGAACAGCCATGGGATGGAAGTTCCTGGAGCATGTGTCCACACCAAGGTCAACCCGAGGGCTCTTGATCCAGGTGGACACTGGGGCCCAGCAAGGCCTGCCAGCAGGTAAATGCCTGTGTTTACGCTGGCAGGGCTGTTTTTAGACACAGACCTTGGAGAGACCTTGGTCAGTCTGTGGCCACCCTGATTTGGCAAGACAGGCATCGCCGCAGCACAGATGGGGCTGCAGGGAAAGCTCCCCAAGGGGGCGTAAGCTGGGAGGGGGCCTGTCCTGTGGAGTGAGGAGTCCAGAGAGCTGCTCGTGAGCTTGGGGGGCAGCCAAGACCCACTGGCTTGTATATCACTGTGTCCGCACCAGGACCAGGATCCACCTCTGCGACTCCACCGGGGGAGTTGCCCGGGCTTGCAACCAGTGCTGTCACCGGGTTTATCTGGCCTGGACTCTGACCAGGCTGCTGTGCTCCAGAGACCTGAGACACTGGCTGTGGCCTCAGAAGGAGGTAGATTTCATTAACGAAACCAGTATGAAGGGGTCTGTGAATATTTATCTTGTAGAGAACATACCTCTCAGATTGAGACAGAGAAGCAGGTCAATAAAGGAGACTGCAGACCCCAGGGCTGAGGCTGCTCAGGGGCCCAGAGAAGATTTGCCAGTGCTCACACCTGCTGTGCCCACACCCTACAGATTGGCACAAGAATGACAGGGAATGAAGAGGCTGGAGGCAGAGGGCAGTTTCCTCAAGAGGAAACTCAGGGTTTGGGAGTGGCGCAAGCTAGTGAGGTGTCTGTGCCAAGAGATCAGGGCCCCTCGTCCTGAGCCCAGCCTCAGTCTACTACCTTGTCCTCCACCAGGGGTGGCAGGTGCCTCTGCACGTGGACACAAGCTCCTGTTCTCGTTGGGACCAGCATCTGGTTTATAGACCAACACTGATGAACCCTGTCTCAGGGCAGAGGCTGGGCAGACAGAAAGGATCTCAGAAGGGTCATGAGGAAAAGGAAGATGTTTAATTGTCACAAACCAGATCAGGAAGGGCACACGGTACCCAAAGACCTCTAACGAGTAGTAGCCGAGGGGATCCTCTCACACTGTCCTAGGGGAGGTTCCTGGGCCTGAGCCACTGAGGCTCACAGTTTTGGTCTCAGGCCGATTTTACACTCTTAAAAGTTCCTGAGGACCCCAAAGAGCTTTATTTATCTAGGTTTTATCTGTCAATATTTACCCTATTAGAAATTAAGACTGAGAGACATTTAAAATATTTATTAATTCATTTAAAGATAACAATGAACCCATTCCATGTTAACATAAATAACAGACTGTGACATGTCACACAGCCTTTGGAAAACTCCACTTCACACCCTGAAAGACAGGAGTGAAAAAGGCAAATACTCCTCAATACAACTACAAGACAGCAGGGCCTGGGAGGCATGGATGCCCATAGCCCACCCTCGAAGCCCGCCAAGCATGCGAGGCAGAGTGCGGGCAGGCGGCCGCAGGGGCTGGCCTGCTGGGTCTTCTCCCGAGACGTCCAGCCTCTGCAGAGGCTGCCCTGGGAATGCCACTGTACTTGGTGAAGCCATCCCAGGAGCAGTGTGGCCTGTTATTCTGATTCTATGATAACTTAAATGTTTTATAAACTCAGGCAACTTCCAGCCCAGAGGGGCCTTGGCCTGAGTAAGGGACCCACTGGGGCTGAACAGGATGGGCAGGCAGGTGTGTCTTGTACCGTGTTTCTGTGGGACTCTGCCAGGCTCCTGGATAGTCAGCGTCCTGGTCTGGCATTCACTTTGTGCTGATCCTGCATTCCTGGGCATCTCTGGCTGCCAAGTGGCTTCTGTGTATCCAGCTTCTGGGCACTTCCCTGAAGAATGTTGCTGGGCATAATCTGAGATGGGAACAGCATGGGGATGTTCCGTGATACTTTGGGTGATCTGGGCTATTTCAGAGCCAAGAAGCCTTGCTGCAGGAGAACAGCCTCCCAGAGGAGGGAGAGGACTGTCTTGGTGGCCTGACTGAGCATGGCCTGAAGGTACAATCCCATGGGGGAGAATGACACACTGAGGTCCATCCTTGGCCTCCCGCCTCAGGTAGGGGGCAGCTCCCAGTTGTTCCCGACCTGGCCTCTTCCCCCCAGGGCAGGTGCGAGGTGGCCAACACTTGGAGCAGCAGCGTTAACGGAAGATGGAAAGGAGGGCAGGTTAGGGACCAAGGAGAGGACCCCTCCCCTCCTGGACAGCTTCCCCTGCAGACCAGTGGGCTGGAGGCTGTCCAGTGATGTCCAGGGAGGTCAGGATACGGGGGTCAGAGAGGACACTGACCTGCTTAGAAGCTGGGGGTGGGGAGGGTGTACAAAGGCTGCAGAGGGCACAGCGTGGAGGTGCACGGTGACGCGTGGTGACGTGGAAAACAGGAAGAAACAGGTGGAGAAGGGATAAGCTGTGAGAGGAGTGTCACAGCAGCTAGGAAAGTACGTCAGGAGGGGAGGGCCATGGAGCCAAATACCAGGGGCTCAGCAGGTGTTCATGGGTCTGGTGGGCAGAAGGCCCCATGACTGTCAGAAAGGGACAACCTTAAGAATAAACCTGCTGCCCTAAATCCAGAGAGCCCCGACCTGGGCCAGGGAGCTTCCAAACCTGAAATTCCAAGGTACGTCTAACTGTGAATATCAGGGGGGGCCATCATGCCCAAAGGACCCCAGAACTGAATTGAGATTGCTTCTGTCTCAACGTGATACCGAAAGCACAAACAACAACAAAATGGATCAAATGGATTTTGCCAAAATTAAAAGCTTTTGTGCTACAAATCTTTCACCATCAAAAAAGTAAAAAGACAACCCATAGAAATATTCTGGCATAAAATATTTGCTGATCACATATCTTTGAAGGGACTTGCCTCCAAAACATGTCAAATGTAGGGTCTCTTTAAGACAGTGTGCCTGGGCCACCTCAAGTCCCACAACTCACCTGGGAGGTTTCTCTGGAGTACTTCTTACACAGACTATCTATGCCCACAAAGAAGGCCTGGATGTCTGAGTCAGTCTGAAAGAGAAAGAAGATGACTCTACACTTATTGCTTCTAATAAATGCTTCTGGCCACTAGTTTAAAAATTGTACTTTGAGATCTAGAATTAACCATAGATGACACAAATAACTAGCACATCACAACGTCTGACTGGCATGTCAGGTACCCCGGGAGGAGCAGCAGCCCCCTTTAGCAGGATGGCCGCACCTCCCGCTGCCCTGGGCGTCTCTGCAGCGAGGGCTTGGAGGCAGAGTGGCCTGGCAGCTGCTGAGCCCCTCTTGGCTACACGTCATCATCTGTGAGGCAAAAAGACACGTCTCTACGTCAAAGGCTCACGGCTAGGGTTAAGGTCAACGTGAATGAAGTCCCGGAGCTCAGGGCACAGCACACAATGGAAACGTACTAAGATCAGAAGAATGATACAAGCTGACGAGCATAACTAATCACTATGTAGTCACAAGTGCATGTTGAGATATTTAAAAAGCAAACAATAGGGACTTAAGAAAAAATAAGGGTTTAAGAAACGATGTGCTTAAAGCAGACACTCCCAACCTCCTTCTAAAGTCCCTACAACAGGCGCTGCCCTGTCTCTCCCTTGCCCAGGACCACGTCAGCACAGGATGCCAGGGTGACAGCTACCCCAGGCACGCATGGAATCGCGGGAGGAATACAGGAATCCCTGGATAAGGACACACCAGACTGAAGAGATGCAAGAAGGGCCTCAGCCTCCCTCCTGCTGTCCTGTGGTTTGGGATGGTGTGTGTGTGTACCAGGGTTGCGATGGTTATCTGAGCCCCACCCCCACACTTCCTCCCCAAATCCCACTGAAGGGACAGTAAAATTAAATGTAGGGAAAATACCAGAATAGTGATAGAAAATAGGAACTAAAACCTTGAATGGCCCTTTGAAGAATCCGGAAGACAGAGTGCAGACGGGCTCAGGTGAGGGCACCAGCTCTGATAAGCAGAGCTGGGTGCAGGTGAAGAGGCCCTGGGATCCAGCCCAGTGTCCACTCCCAGGCCTCTCAGGGCAGTGACCAAACAGGGCCTCAGACCCAACAGAGGGGAGATCAGGCTCTATGGAGGAGGGTGGGAGTTCCTGGACATGCCAAGTTGTAAAAGCATGGGCAATGTGCCCTGTGAGCTGGGAACAGGGGCTGGCTCTGCACACTTGCCCTGTGACCCTGGGTGGTCATCCAGCCCCTCTGCCCCCTGCTCCCCATGTGCAAAGCTGGAATATAAACAGTGCCCTCCCCCTACCCGCTGGTATGGTGGCACCAGGTAGCACAATATGGGGAAGCACATGGGATAGAGCTTGGCCCCTGTTGGCTACTCAGCAAGCAGTGACAACCACTGTCATCTAAAGATAGCCTATCAATACACAGACCCCTCAAAAACAAGACAAAGAATTCTGTGGACCAGGAATGGCAGTGGCTGAAGAGGCCGTCAGACCACTCTAGCTCTAGGCCTTCTGGGTGGGGAAAGTGAGTCGTTCACACATGACAAGAGACCTGGATAGGACCGGAGGCGAGTGTGGAGACGGGGCAGCCAACATGTGATGCCACAGCACAGACTCAGAGCCTCAGGGAAGCCTGAGTGGGAGAACCATGGCGCCGACTACCACAGCCACGTGCGCAAAGTTGAAGACAAGGCAGGAAGTGAGATTTTCAAAGTGCTAAAAAGCATTCATGTTCAACAAAGAATTCTAAACTCTGAAAATATGCTTCAAAAACGAAGGCAAAAGAAAAAAAGAGGCATTTTTTTTCCAGATAAAGAAAAACCGACAGAATTCATCTGTCAGCTCAGCACTAAAAGAAATAATAAAAGGAATTTCCTATAGGTAGGAGAAATAATCCCTGATTTGGAAGGAAGCAAGGAGCATGAGAAAAGGGGGAAATGTGGGAAAACCTAGGTGGATGTTCCCTGCGTGCAGCGAGCCGCACTGTGGCCACAGGGCACAGCTAGGGAACCGAGTGAAAGCGACCTGAGGCCCCTTGTGCGTCAAGAAACCTGATCCATGTGAGACTGAAAAGTCAAGATTGCAATCTCCAGGATAACCGTAAACTAATGTTTTCTTTTTGAAACTTTTTCTTTTTTTAAAGAATTTTCATTGTATTTAATTTTTTAAGAGTGGGGAGGGTGTGCCCCACAAATAATATAGTAATGAGGACTCACAATTAAACCCCATAGCATGACAAGGCTTTCAGTGTTTGATGTCATCATGACAGAAGGCATAAACAGCGGTGTAAATCAATGAGGAGACAGTCGTCCGATGTAGTCCATTAGGCAAGATGGCACGAGAGTTCGTTTAAGTGCCCTACCCTTACCTAAATGGCTAGCAGACATGGATAACACCACAGTGATGAATCCACAGAGCTCTCTCCACGTGGCTAGAAAAACGTGCTGTCAAATGGCACACTGGAAAACGCAGGAAAGGGCACCACAGCAACCTCTCTCCTTTATAAGCACGAATGCTAGATTAAGCTATTTCAACTAAGCAGCAAGTGGGTTCTTCTGCTAGGAATGCCAACCCTAATCCACTCTGTCTTGAAATATAAACAGACTGTTTGTATATATTTTCCTTGGGATGCCAGGCTGTACGAGGATTTTTCTTGTTGAAGTCTAGGTTGTCAACACTTACTTCATCTTTCTTTTGCTTGTTGCTTGTAGACTTTTTGTGGCTTCAGAACTGTGTGAGGCCTACTGTTTCCCTGGGATGCTTCTAGGCTCATGTCTCGCTTTTTGTTCCTGTCAAACTTTCTGAAGAAATTATTGTAAGATCTAGTCACGACAACACTGTCAGATCTGTTCCAACAACATTCAGATTTGTCAAATATGCAGTCATTTTCATACCACGAGCAAAGTGTACTTCTGAGGTATTCATGCACCTGGTATGTCTCCACAGGCATGTTTTCTATAGTTAAGTCCCAAATTCTGACTGACATGATCAAATATCGACCACTATGGCTGAATTTTACATCATAAATAGAAGAGATAATTTTGGGGAAAAAATGACCTGTTACTGGAATCTTCAGGTTCTTCAGACTGTTTAGAATGCCTGTCACAGAGGGCAGGTGCTCTCATGTCACATGACCCAGTAGTTTCTTTACTGCTGCTCTGCAGAAACGTGTTACAGCTGTTTGGATAAAAATCTGCTGCTGTAATCACCTCTGCTAGCTCTTCCATATCCACAATGTTAAAACCCCTGTCTATAATTTACAGATGACAAAGATTAACCTGAAAATCATCTGCAGATAAATGCTCCAGAATCATCATGAATACAAACTGGCAAATATTCTTCAGGGACTAGACTCGCCATTAACCTCACGGGTCTGAAGACTGGCCCTGCGAGTGTAGTATCCGTGGGAGGATCTCCACACATTCCCCTTCCTCTTTCAAGTTACACGCTTCTGGTCTTTTGTCCCTTTCACTAATTTTCCATAATTTTATTGTTTTATCATTGGTAGAAAACTGAGCAGCATCTTTCTGGGGTAACCACCTAATTTTGTTGATCTTTTTTCTTCTCTTGCTAAATTTTTCAAGTAGTCAAACTTTGGTTCATGGCTCTGAAAGGTGCTATAAACATGACATTCTCCTCTGTTATGTGATTGGATTTTGTTCTCTTGCTCCTGTTGAAAGACGGCAACTCTTAACACCTTTATTTCCTGTTGCCCATAATTCTCTGGAATGATTAAATTCTACTATAGCAATTACATCTGCTTCTGCCTCATAATCATTTAGTGCTCCTTTCACTGGGAAAACACCACTGAATATCATTCCCTATCCCGCTCCCATGGTGGCGGGGGGGGACTACATATGTTCCCACTATATTTTAACTTGTAAAGCACTCTTCCTTCTCAGTGCAAAATATATTTGTATATACACTCAAGAAGGCTTGCAGCAGGTGGCTGAACTGATGTTTTTTTTGATCTGAATGTTAGTCATGTTCTGATTGTGAGAAATTCATTGTGCTGTATATTTATAATTTGCATACTACTCTATGTGTTATACTTCAATAAAAGTTAATAGAAATGATAACTAAAAATTCCCAAACATTTAGAAGTTAATCAATATACTTATAGATAACACCTGAGTCCTAGAAGAAACCAAGGAGAAATTTCAAAACTGAAAGATAATGAAAATATAACATTGCCAAATATATACATTGCAGGCAAAAATGAACATGGAGAGAAAGTTATGATCCTATAAGGTAAATATTAGAAAGGAAAGATTGAAAACTGATGTTAAGAAAACATCTTAAAAAACAAAACCAAAGAAAAAAGAAAAAAAGGAAATTATAAAGAGAATTAATTAACAAAACAGAAAACAAATATAAAATGGAGAAGATTAATAGAGCCAAAAATTAGTTTTTTGAAAATACAGTCATCCCTTGGTATACAAGGGGGATTGGTTCCAGGAATCCCAAGTATACCAAAATCTGCCCATCTTCCCATTCTCGAGTCTCTTAGTCAGCCCTGTAGAACCCACATATATGAAAAGTCAGCCCTCCGTATGCTCAGGTTTCATATCCTACAAATACTGTATTTTTGATCTGAGTGTGACTGAAAATATCCATGGAAAAGTGCACCTGTGCAGTTCAAACCCGTGTTGTTCAAGAGTCAACAGTTCTAATAAAAATCAATAAACACTTGGCAATACTGGTCAAGAAAAAAGAGAAGTCACAATACCTACTTGTAAAGAAAAGAAAAATTTTAGGATCATGTCCCCAACTCCTTATGCAAAAGGGAAGGCCAAGCCTGGAGGCTGAGTCCTGCAACACCCACTTCCATAGGAGCAGCTTGTACTAACATTATGCATCAGCCAGGTTCCCATGGGAAGGTAAAGGCCTCAGAGTCCATTCATAAGGAAGTTTCTTGTTGGCTTCTCATAAACAAGGACTTGCAAATTGTAACTTTAGGTCTGCAGGATAGTCTAGCTCCTAAAACTAAAGTCTGTTTGATTCCACATTAATAATGCCCATTACAGGTTTATCTTCCCAGATGCAAAACAGAGATAAT